TTATTCATGTCATATATAGAAGTAAGTGTATATAAGGGAGCGTTTCCAAATATGGAAAGAGATGAGCAGGGTGCCACTGTGTTTGATTTATTACATGAACAATATCTTAGCAAATTGAAAAGATAAGACCTTCTTATTTTGTATTCTAGCTTATCAATATCGGTAATTTGAGTTTCTAATTTGTATGAAACTATAGACTTAGTATTTTGACTTCACAAACATCTAATTTGAACCAGTGCTGCATTCAACATACCATGTGACACACAAAAATCAATGTTTATCTGTGTTTTTTTAATATCTACTTTTAAATTAATAAATTGAGTAATGTATAGTTCTAAAATTTGAATTCTAATTTACAGTTTGGTACCAAACTTATTGATATAAATTCATGAAATAGTAGTTCAATAAAATTTTGAATGTGAATCAACAAACGCGATGACATGGCCTTTCACCTGTGACCCATATCGAAAAGGGTAAAATCTATAAAGACATTAAACGAGTACAAGGAGATCACGTGGTTGGTCAAATTTACCGAGTCCGTGTTAAGAGAGCTAAAAAAATGTATGATATCTATCTGGACATTATAAAGATTTTGCATGTGAAATTTGAAAGTTTTCTAATGTACAAAAGTATTTTTGATATTAAAATGAAAATTACTTTACATGTTGGATAAGCAACATATGAAGAGAAAAAAAGGCATGAGAAAAATATTGCTTTACAAACCTTAAGACTTAATAATAAAAATTGATATTGAAAGCATTGTAATGTTTACTGATAATCTGCCAAATTTAGTTAAAATATGCTTACTAATTTAATAGTTATAACATGAAAACTGTAACAAGCACAAAATGGTAATGAGGTCAGTCCCAGGAACCGAGCTCATGGTGAAAGAGTTAGTAGTTTTGAAGTTTTGTGTGTGTGTGTTTTCAAATAGAAAATGCTTCTGGATACAAAAACAACACCCAGACCAATGATAAGATCTTTCGTTTGATATATTACTCAATGTTGTTGGTCAAGCCCCCACTTGCTGACACCCTGTTTTTGATGCTAACATTTGCCCATTCATCTTTGCAAAATGGCAGTTTAATACTTAGTGATCATGGGGATCTTATTATAGCTGATTTACAACTATTGGGAGTATGGTTTGTAGACTTTTTCATTCAATGTTTGGTGTACAATAATTTAGTATGTTTATGGGAGTTTTATATATTCACAACTGTGTCTTTGTACCCGGACACTTCTGTGTCCAAGAACTATAATTCTCTGGAACACCCTACTAACAGTGAGAGTGTAATCATATATATGCATAATGTATTTGGTCTGATAATAATTTGAACATTTATTACACCTTTAAGTAGAAAGTGTTTTATTCCAGTTTTCCTTTTTATACTGAGACAATACACTCAGTAACAGCTATTTATTTCCTCTAATAAAGGTATGACAAGTATCACACCATATTCTGTGCAGAAGTTCAGTGATTATTATTATTATTGTACTAAACTTAGAAACAACAAGGACCTATTTGATCTTTCAAGGCTGTCCTTTCACGCCCAGTTTGTAAAAAGTAAAAATTTAAACCCACCCTGTACTTTTCAGAAAATCATTAATTCCCAGCTCAAACTTCTGTAAAGTGTTGGCCTCCACTAACACCTATGGCAAGTCATTGCACAAGTCAATAAACCCTCTTAAAAAATAAAACTGTCTTAACTGGTGCCTAACATGCCTTTTCTAAGTCTTGAATTTCTGTCATCTCATTTTATCTTTAGCATACAGCATAAAAAAATTAGAAACCTTTATCATGTTGATCCATCTAAATAATCTTGTAATCTTCAGTAAGATTACCTCTTACCTTTCTTTTTGCAAAAGAAAATATAGTTAAAGAGATCTTAACCCATTCCTATAAGATAAACCCTTCCATCCCAAGAATCAACCTGATAGCTCTCTGAACCCTTTCCAATGAAGTAATGTGAATAATCTTTGTTATATAAGGAAATCAAAACTACACAGTATTTAACGTGAGGTTTATTTACAGATTTGTATAAAAAAAATCATTGTATTGTTACAAAACCATATTTTACTTTAAGAATAATCAAAACATTAATACCAGTATTTATTATACTGTCAAAATTCTGGGCTCAATCTTTTATGAACAACATAACTGCAAAACCTCAGAGTTTCAAACAATATTCAATCTAAAACTCAACCATCTATCTAGTGCAGTCTTTGGCTCTCTCTGATTTGCTATCATATGACAAGGTAATAATTCAACATAGGAAAAGTATTGACTAGTGAAAAAAATATTAGATCAACTTGCTTACCTATGGCTGCAGTTACCATGACAAAAACCTAAGCATTACCTACAGTAGTGTCAGCCATTTTGTTTTACTAAGAGAATAATATCAGGCAGGTGGTAGCATTGCTTATGTAGGGATGGCTTGGATTGGTTGTCAAAATGTTATTTTAAATATTTCCTCAATAGGTCATCAGAACCTTGTGATACTATACAGTGTTTTCTTTTGTAACAATATCCATGTAATGATTGAATCACAAGTTCTGGAGATGTCTGTAAATATCATAGCAAAAAGTTTGAATTTCTTGTTTGTTCTTT